GAAAGAGGGTATGTGTTCACAACCCCAATGGATCCAGATATCTTTGGGCATTGAACAATTTTAGCACAAGCCATTTTAAAGACACTGAGGAAACTACCTCGGTTTAGATGGACCCTTAGCAAACAGCTTAAAAATAAAAAAGAAAAAAAGAGCTGGTTTTATGAGCAACTTCACAGCTCAACTCTAAAAAAAGCTGAAATAGTTCATAATCTAAATCCAGCTCTGTTTGGCTTCAATGTTGTTTAGACTGTGTGAGGAATGCAGAAAAGAACCAGTAAACATTTTCTTAAAGGAAAAAAAAATCCCTGACCTCACACTGACGTTCTCACAGCCCCCTCTTGGGAGAGAGGGAAGAGTTGGCCTCTTTTTCATGAGATTTCCATCACAAGCTTGATTTTTGTGTCCTCTCTGCCTCTTACCTAAACCCATAAGAACCAGCCAAAACTGATCCATTTAACTACATCCAGGAAGCAAGACTCAAGGAATCACACCATCTCATATGTTTTTTTGCATCACAAGAACATAGTCCCTTGAAGGCTGAAGTGGCCACATGAACAAATAACAACCCTTATTTATATTTTCTTGGTTTCTGTATGAAAAGATTAGTACATGTTTTGTCTATAAAATACAAGAAAAAAAACAGGAATCTCTTAAAATATTCCAATGTACTCAGGAATTTATGTTGATAGGGAACATCACATGCACATAAGAAAGCAATTGCTGTATCTCTGTACACAGTGTGCCTCCTAACCCCATGACAATTCACAGCCCTTGAACTGGCCCAGGCGATGCTCTTGCAGGCTCTTGTGCAGGGAACACAAGTTCTGTTATAAAACATAAGAATTCAAGGGTAATTTCCCACTTACTGACTTACTGTCAGTTGGCCTTTTATTTTTTTAATGAAAAGACTTGATGTTGCAAATTTAACCATAGGAAAAGTGAGTGGAAGGTTAGGGTGGGATGGGAAAGTATTTCCCAGGCAAGTGTTGATTCTGGGATGGTTCCCTAAAACTGTAACATGTACATACAAAAAAGTTGTGAACTTTTGAGCTGGGCCAAACCCTTCCTTCTTTGCCAGCATAAACCCAGCTTTGCTCCTTGATATGAATACTCCAGTCCGTCTTACAAAGCAGCAACACAGGGGAAGGCAAAGATGGTTTACCCTAATCTGTATGTATCTGCTTAATGTTCTGTTTGGGTTCAGGCTTGAGATAAGATACAAAAAAAATGCAAACCAACATAGAGTGCCCAATTCCTTTTTCTACCAGCATATCTCCTCCTTTGGAGGAGAGGTCACCATGAATGAAAGGAAAAGATGTTAAATGAGCATTAGCTTGCTAATGTGCAGTTCAAATATGTCCATTTGCAAATTAGCCTAGGGAATTCAGGATGCTGATTTTTTTTATGGCCACTTAAAGATCACAAAGGCCATCCTCTGATCTGAAATTCTTTGTGCCCCCATGGACCAGAGCTGAGATTTTGCCAGCAGATTCTTCTATAAACCAATGTTGGAACAGAGAATTCTTGCAGGGGAGAGCCTTCTCCTTCAGCAATCTCATTTCAGTTCATTAAACCAGCAGAAAAAACAGCAAAGAAATAAGAAACAAAAGTAAATCATTTTGTACAAGCTACCTCAGCAAAATCAGCCATCACACGGGGGTGTGAAGGGAAAGGGAGCTTAACCATTGGTCACACCAGAACCAAGCACATCCTTTGTGTCACCATTACTGACTGGCAGAGTTCCTTTGCTTTTACTGCCATGCTACAAAGTTTAACACAGATTTAAGTCATGGGAAGGGATTTGTTTTCCTTGGCGGCATGCAGCATCACAGGCATGCTAAAGGGCTCACCTCAGGTAGATAGACTGGCATGCAGTGAGGACCACAGCAGCCCCCTGCAGCACTATAGACCTTCTCCTTCCTATGGAAGAATCCTTCCAAGGGATTATCCACAGAGCAGTACCTCCATGATAGGCTGTTCTGTACACCCTCACACTTAAAGGTAAATTAATTGCGTTTGATGAATAAGATTTTTTTAAAATCACATAATACAATGTACTTTATTTTGGTTTTAATTCTTTGTCTTATTCAAAATAGCATTTTTTACCCAACTGAAGGTGGAAAGGACAGTTTTAAAAAATAATCCACACATAAACCAACCCCTGGAACCCACAGTGCTGCAATCTTCCCAGAGGCTTTGCTGTATTGTGCTTTCTTACTTTTCTATAAATGAAGTTTCTTCTCTCTAGCCCTTCTGGCTGCAAAGATAACCTTCACAACACAAACCAAGGCACTATCGTCATTCTGCTGCTGCAGCCAGCCAGACTGAAACAATAACATCAGGAGAGGTGTGAACTTCCTCCCTTTGGCTTAATAGGGTGTTAACTTCGAAAGCTAATTATTTAAATGCTTAAGAGAGGATTGCCATCACAGTTAACCATTTTACCGCTGAGTCAGCAGGCAGGGACA